ATCCATGACTCTTGCCATTCGCAGGATTCGAACCTACGATCATTGGTTTTGCAAACGAACGCCCAACCTCTGGACCAGCATCCAATGGTGTTCATATCTAACTCCGATCAATCTAGGGATTATGCGTAAGTCCACTCATTTGTCTCCGGTAGTTACTGGCTACACCCGACAGGGTTGAACTTCTGACTAATATCTTGTCCTCAGTTATTGATCACAATCCTTATTCTAATTTAGTTCGTTATTTTCCTCATAGTTTAGCGTCATCAAGTTAGCCAATTACTTGCTCAACCAACACTATAAATCTTGAACTGGTAGCTAAATTCTTACTGGTCCACACTACTCACTAGCTCTTCCCCATGCCCACTCATTAAATACAGATATATTTTCTATTTCACGCAGAATTTACTTCTTCATACACACCATATTATAAAATGAAATATACAAATCACACATAAACAGGTCAGACGGTAGCTGTGAGTAGCGAAGACTTCAAGTCATAAACTGGCAAAGAAAATTAAGAATAGTAGATCTAAACTTAGTTCTGAGAGTTATTATTCTCTTTCAATCTTCATCTTGATATAACAGTTACGTATGAAGAACCAACTGCTACATCGATGAGGTGGCGTGGTAGGTTAGAAGCAGCCAAAACAAAGTGTGACATTAATCTATGGGGGGAACGACTGTTAGTCTTGTTCATGTTGCTGATAAATTCAGACTACTTCGTTGCAGTTCACGCAAATATTGTGACTACTGATTGGACAGAGCTCTTCTGATCTATTATTTCGGAGTAATTTCATATCTGTCACTCCAAGAACCTGTTGACCTCTCTCAAATTTTATTTTAAGCATGCATTAATTTCTTTACTAAAACGGACACAAATACAATTAGTTTGATGTTCATTGTAATGTTTTGATTTAGCTGAGCTGATATGATGTGATCATCCAGGTTGATGCGCATAAATGCTTCAGATTCTGTTTTGCTTATAGTTTTATTGATTATGTGTGCTTGAAGAAGAAAAATCATTAGTTTAACTTTGATTTAGTACCATTTTATTTAAACTGAATGCCGATTACCCGAAAACTAAAACCTTTTCTAACAGTACAACTAGATAACTGAACATATCGGATGAAACAAATGCCAATCCATTTGAACTAGTGGAGAAAATCCAACCCGTTCTATAGGGTTACGAAGATATTTGAATTTCATTAGAAATCACGAACAGATCAAAGTTGGATTAATGGAGCGAAACTATGTTGGGTTTAAGTTACTTGTCAACTTGCGTTACTTATGGAGTAGGCGAGATATCCGTATGCTAATAAAAAGGACGGGCTTACTAAGTAACAACAGTTAGCTCCGTCCTACTAAACCGGTGTGAAACATAGTCAGTAAGAGTAGGGGGATATTCGTAGGTTATTGGTATTCGATCATCGATGTCTTCAAAGCAATGCTCGTACATCCTGAAACACGGCACAAATTCATGAAGTCACTAACAAGTGGACTGAGTCATGTTGGTAGGTGTAGACTACCTGGTTGGGGTCAGCGAAACGATACTAACCGATGGTTAGAGACTTTGAATGACATGGCTCAAGATGGTCTGCGATGTTACAGGCGCATCCACTCTTTGTTTTCGCCCAAATTCTAATCTAAACTCCTCACCATATTCATCTTCCTCTTTTTAAGTTTATTTCACTGGATTACACTTCTTGAATAATACTTTTGGACTGCGATCTTTCCGATTACTACTAATAATTCTACTACTATGAGATTTGAACAGACAATTGTAACTTTGAGCTAATGTGGTATGGCAACTTGAACTGATGTACGTACGTACGTACGAAGTTCTACACTTTAACTGACTGACTGACTTCACCGAAGACAATTGAAGATGGTTGTGCTATATCGCGGAGTGATCGAATGTTGACTCATAAACTAACAGGCCCCAAATCATTAGTCTAGAACTTAAGTGTGTTTGTGCGCAAGATCGAGATTTTTGGGTTTGATTCCAGTTTGCGGAGTCGTGGATGCACGCTTCCTAGGTCTTACGCTAAGGCGTAAAGGACAATCAATGTTCCGGGGAGTTCAATGAAGATTTTCAATAAAATTAGATCAGCATCAACTACCAAACAAACCACATGTTTACCTAATCCATATACCAGTCGATCAACAATTTTACAAATATCCATTGTATCCAAATTGACTTCTCAATGTGAAGTCATATTATCGAAAGATTTTAATAAAATCACGAAAACAAAAACTATTCTATCATATATATATATATATACATATATATATATATATATATATATATATATATATATATATATATATATATATATATATTCTAACATATTTATTCTCAATTCAGGAGATTGGATCGATGGGCAGAACACTTTAGGGATTAGTTCAACTGGCCTTCAGCCACACTTCGGTTACCCACGATCTCCAGTCATCCTGAATGGCTGCACGTCCTTATAGACTGACCCCTGAGATATTTAAGGATGGTGGTCCAGTTTTAGCAGCTAGATTGACTGAGATCCTAGGTAGAATCTGGAAACTGGACGTAATACCATCTGACTGGTCTCAATCACTGATTATCCCACTTTATAAAAAAAGGACAAACGTCTTCTTGTGACAGTCACAGGGAAATCAGTCTAACTAATATAGTGTCTAAATTTTTAGCCTCGATTATGCTTAGACGCCTAACTAGAGCTCACGAAGAGCAGACTCAAAAAACCAAGTTGGTTTCAGACCTGGACGTGGATATATAGACCACATCTTCACACTACGACAGGTCCTGGAACACAGACATACATTCAGGCGTCCTACAATAGTTGTTTTCCTGGACCTGAAAGTGGCATTCGACTCTGTTGATCGTGAGGTTCTGTGGCAGTGTCTGTCATTGAAAGGTGTACCAAAGAAGTACACTAACCTCATACAAGCTCTCTACTCGAACACCACTGGTCGAATGAGAGCTTAAGGCGAACTGTCATCGGAATTCTTTACTTCAAGTGGAGTCCGTCAGGGATGTCCACTCTCTCCATTCATTTTAATTTTGTCATAGACATGCTCCTAGAAATAACCTTATCCTCGTCTGAATTTTCAGTAGACCCCTTACCAGAAAGATCGCTTACTGACCTAGAATATGCTGATGACATTGTCCTACTTGGTGAAGACGCTGAGAAAATGCAGAGTCTTCTGACCACCCTAAGCAACAATGCAAACATCTTCGGGATGGGATTCTCCCCGTTGAAATGCAAAATGGTGCTTCAGGATTAACTTGTATCGTCACCTGAACTAGTGATAGGGAGTGAAGCAGTTGAGCTTGCCGACCGCTTCATTTATCTGGGCAATCGCATCAGTGCTGATGGCTTGGCGACTGATGAAATCTCAGCTCGGATAAAGAAAGCTCGATTGGCTTTTGCCAACCTGCGTCACTTATGGCGTAGGCGAGATATACGTTTGCTGACAAAAGGACGAGTGTACTGTGCAGCAGTTCGCTCCGTCCAACTATACGGATGCGAAACATGGCCGTTAAGACTAGAGGACTTTCGTAGGTTACTAGTTTTCGAAGCATTGCTCGTGTATCCTGGGAAAACCGAGTAAGTAATGCTGCCATCAAGAAGCAAGCACTAGGTAAGGATGGTAGATCAATTGATGAAGTATTGAGACTTCATCAGTTGAGGTGGTTGGGACACGTGTTACGAATGCCTAACCAAGGACTGCCTCGACGAGCTATGTTTTATGGTGTAAGAGTAGGATGGAAGATAGCTAAGGGCGGACAAACCAAAACATGGCACAAACCCATGAAGTCACTGACAAGTGGACTGAGTCATGTTGGTAGATGTAGGCTACCTGGTTGGGGTCCGCGAGACGAAAGTCACCAATGGTTAGAGACCTTGAACGACATAGCTCAAAACCGTTTGCAATGGCGCCGATGCATTTATTCTCTGTGTTCTTTTTAATCCTAACCTTCTGCATCCCTCGTAATCTCTATCTTTCTCCTTCTAAATTTATCTTACTGAATTATACTTCTCGAATCATATCTTCAATCCCTAATCTTCTCCATTACTGCTAATATACTTCTACTATCGCTTATCACTCTTGGATTTAAAATGACAATTGCGTCTCTGTGCTGACGTGTTATTATGGCAACTTGAACTTGATGTACTTACGTACGAAGTTCTGCGTCTTTCTATCATATCATTCAATATTCATGCAAAACTTTATCCACTCTAATTCGAAGATGTTGATCCGAAGAAGTAGAAGAAGAACAGCCAGCCAGTCAGAAAACAAAAAAATAAATAGCTAGCAAAACGAGTAAATGATCGCAGCAATTTTTAATTGATGTAATAAGTAAATAAATAAATTTTAAAAAAAGAAGTACACAGTTCTGCTTTGTACTCAAATAATAACTAAGGCTCTCTCTCTCTCGCTTATTTGACATCATCCTTCAAGAAACAAAAAACGAAAACGAGAGAAGAACACACAAACTAGCGAGAAGTGTACGTCAACAACAACAACAAAAAATAAACACAAAAAATACAAATATCGACAAGGTAGAGCTGAGTGTGAAAGGCAAACACCACGACGACGGAGACGTAGTACTGGTAGTAGTAGTAGTAGTACTTGTTGTAATCATACATCAGGATTACAAAATATACACGCACACACACACACAGAGAGTAGTGTGTGTGGAGAGAGAGTGACAGTGTGAGGAGAGGAGGAAGGAAGGGAGCAAATAAATAAATTAAGAAAACAAAGCAGGAATAAAGTCAATAATCAATTATTCAATAAAATATAAGTAATCTGGCAAGAAATTATTACTGGAAAATAATAATAATAATAATGATAATCTGTAAAATGTACATACGCACATTAAAATCACTATGAATTCATTGGTATGTGTGCATGTGTGTGTGTGAGTGAGTGTGTGTGTATTACACATGAGATTGAAGTCGGAAAGAAAGCGAACAGGGAAAGAATGAGAACGAATTGTGTACGGGACGTACTCGTCATAGGCGTATATATATATGTGAGTGTGTGTGTGTCGATGTACAAATTGACGATCACGTACGTACACATCAGAGCTGTATGATTATGTAATGTAAGGCAGAAGAAGAATGATGATGATGATGAGAAGGAGGTGGACAACTACTGGTGGATAGATATCACAGCTACTAGGAATGAATATGAAAAGTGTACTCAATTTTGTAATGACACTATACATATACATAGGCATAGGCATACATACATACATAGGGGCCAGAGAACAAGAAACAAGGGGCGCATATCTATATATATAAATCATTATTCGCTGTTTTTCGATAAATAATATTCATTGAATAAATTTCTTACTAATTCAATGCAAATTTTATTAGCTATTTGAAATTCTGGGCCTAATAAACAAAAATTAAGAAATGCATGAGGCAAATCATCCAATACACGTACATCGACTGAAATGTTCAATTTGACAAGACGTTTAGCCAATTCCAATCCATCATCCAAAAATGGATCGAATTGTGAACACTAGGAGTAGTAGTGGGAGGAGGAGTAGGGGAGAAGAGAAACAAACAAAGAAAAAGGGATTATTATTATTACAGACACACACACACACATACACACACACTGATATACAATACAGAAAGACACATAATAATTAAGGTAGAATTATTGATTACACAGGATGGTAGATTTGTTAGCAGACGGATAACTTGCCTACGGCACATAAGTGATGCAAGTTGGCAAAAGCCCGGTGGAGCCTGTTTTGTCCGTGTTGAGATTTTGCCAGTCACTAGGCCATCAGCACTGATGAGACTCCCGAGATAAGTGAAGCGGTCGGCCCACTCGACTACTTCACTCCCTAACATTAGTTCAGGTGCCAATACAAGCCAATCCTGAGGCAACATTTTGCCTTTCGACGGGGAAAATCGCATCCCGAACATGCATGCATTGTTGCTAAAGGTAGACTCTGCATTTTGTCAGCGCCTTCACCGAATAGAACTATGCCATCGGCATAATCTAGGTCAATAAGCGATCTTCCTGGTGGAAGTTCCACCACAAAGATGAAGTTAATTCTAAAAATCATTTCTATGACAAAATTAAAAGAGAATGAGGAAAGTGGACGGCCCTGACGGACACCACTTGAAGTAAAGAATTCCGATGACAGTTCGCCATAAGCTCTTACTAGACCAGTAGTGTTCAAGTAGAGACCATGTATAGGGTTAATGTACTTTTATGGTACTTCTGAAATGTGTGTCTTTGTTCTAGGACTTGACGTAGTGTGACTATTCGGTCTATACATCCAAGTCCAGGACGAAAACCAGCCAGGTTTTCTCCAGTCTGCTCTTCACGAGCTTTCGTTAAGCGTCAGAGTATTACTGAGGCCAATATTTTAGAAACTATATCAGTTAAACTGATTCCTCTTTGGTTGTCGCAAGAGGACTTTTATCCTTTCTTATAAATTGGGACAATCAGCGATTGAGACCAGTCAGATGGAATTGCGACAGTTCCCAGATTCTACCTAAGATCTCAGTCAATATCACTGCTAAAACTAGACCACTTGTTGGGGACGTTAGATCCCCAGAACTCGCTTGATAAATGCCTTATTTTGGATTTCACGTTTGCGAGCATGGGCTGATCAGTTGGCCTTGAGATTTCATTTCCTAACAGGAAAATTCATGGCTGTGATTGGCCGCTATGTATTTCAGTGTGCTATTTCTGTGACTGTCCCAAGGACGTTTCTATGATGTATAAATAAACGAGAGTTGTGTGCTTGGTTGCATTGTGATTTCTGGGTGATTGTAGAATATACTTTCTACGCTATATCAAGACTTCTCTTTAGCCGTTTCAGATCAAGGTAGCCTACTTGGACGCTGGTTCATTGTCTCGTTAGTGTTTATCGACCAAGATGAACCCGTAATAGTTTCAAGCGTACCTAGTGACGAACCTAACACCACTATCCTTAAATATCTTAGTAGTAAGCCTAGCAGGCCTTGCTACACTCCCTCGTCTCAGATTCCCTATAGCTTTTTCAGCTTCATTAAGAGTCGGAGGACTTACATCGATTTGCTATTTATGTTTATTGGAGATAGGTAGGCAACTAAAGTGTGGCTGAAGGCCAGTTGAATTGATCCCTGCAATGTTCTGCACATCGATCAAAAGATAAACTAAAGCTTAACGCTACTTCAGCTGGGACAGATAGGTAATATCATTGGTTTTAGATGATTTTTAAATGAACACTTGTAGATTTCGTTAGTCTTTTGAACAATATCAGGAGAATAATGAAAAATTCACAATTAACCATTAAGTTCAGTGAAGAAAACTCCACTAAAAAGTATCAACAGCTTTTGTATAGTTTAGCTTAAAGTCAAGTACACAGAGAAATATTCGGTAAGTTTCATATTCCGTGTAGATACAATGCATTCTCAAACAGGTCCCAAGTACTTGTTGTTTTACTCAAAATATATTGTCATAGGATTTATTATTCCTAAATTATTGTTAATCATGCACCGCTGCTGCTGCATTCTCCGGGATTTTTGGGATGATTGTAAAATCGCTTTTTTGGAGGTACCTTACGATCTAAAAAATTCATGAGTATTTGAGATCAATACACCGGATGTTGCGTAATATGCTCAGAAAAGCTTGCTTGCTATTTTTTTTCTTGTTTAAACTCAAACTTTGGATAGATTAAGGTGTGTATAACGGTGAAGCAATAGAAACTGAGGAGGTTTTTATACCTCAACTCAAGGTTAATCTTGTCAGACAAAGTTTATGAATGTTTAAAGCTCAGAACTCTACGCTACAGACAAAATAGAATAGGCAATCAAAAGGAACAAGAGTATACACACGCGCACACAAAAAACACACTCCACTTACAGTAATAACAACCGGAGGCAATCCACGTAACATATCATCTGAAGCTAAATATGGTGACATGAAACCATTCTGACTTAAATGAATATTTCGAATACGATTCAAATCGGTTGATGGTCGACGTGGTTGTTGCAATTTCGGTGTACATTCATGTTCATCAATATTATCACCTGATTTCTCTCCGGTTATCTGTTGTTTATGAATTGAAGCAGTTGTATGGCGATCAAATTGTTTTGGCAATGATGACGATGATGCATTGTTTTCACAGGAAATAGTATCTCTTATTTTAGTAGTAGCAGTAGTATGGGATTGTAGTGAATCTGAATTGGATTTCGATAATTCTAAACAATTATTTTGTTTTTTCAGAAATAATAGTAAAATATGAGAAAGTTCAGTTTGTAAGGAATAAAAAAAATGGTTCATTAAGAAACAAACATATAAGTTATATGGAATAAAATAAAGTTAACCATTGTATGTCAGTCAGTCAGTCAGATGCAACGTAGAACTTCGTATGTAAGTACATCAGTTCATGCTGCCATACCACATCAGTACAGAGGTATAATTGTCAATTCAAATCCAATAGTAGAAGAGGGAATTGGAAGTCATAGGAGAGGTTAGGATTAGAAGGTATTATTCAAGAAGTATGGATTCAGTGAGAAAAGTTTAGAAAGACAAAACTACAGGTGTTGAAGAATCCAGAAGATTAGGATTTGAGAGAACACAAAGAATAAATGCACCGGCGCCATTACAAACGGTTTTGAGCCATGTCATTCAACGTCTCTAACCATCGATTATTATCATCTCACGGACCCCAACCAGGTAGTCGACAACTACCGACATGACTCAGTCCACTTATTAGTGACTTCATGGATTTGTGCCATGTTTTGGTTTGGCCGCCCCTAACTTTCTTCCAACCTAATTCTACACTACAAAACAAAGCTCATCGAGGCAGTCGATGGTTAGGCATACGTAGCACATGTCCCAACCACCTCAACTGATGAAGTTTCATTACTTCATCTAATGATTTGCCATTCTTACCTAGCACCCGTTTCCTAATAACAGCGTTGCTCACTCGGGTGTCCCAGGATATACGAGCAATGCTTCGAAGACACCTCTATATGAGTAATCAGAATTGTTGATACAGATTCGTAAACTGCAGTTAGAAATCAGACTTTGTGCGAAACGGTTCGAGATAATACTCGGTTGCCTAAACTGAAAAAGATGGAGCATGACTTGACCCAGAGATCTGTTGGTTAGAAGTCAACCGACTGCCAAACATTATTAGTTAAATTAATATAAATCAGCAGGTCATGGCAACATTACTAACTGTAAAGCTGGATGGTACAAGAATGAATCCGTAAGGAAGCATCAGTTCCCTTAAGATTAAAAAGAACACCTTGCTGACGAGTGCCAAGTAGCATGAAACCAAAGTCAAGCGGGACTTTCTGTCGACCATCTCTTCTAACCAACGTCATACATAAAATGTTCTCAAATTCACCATCATATAACTTTTCTTATAATTGGCACACTAAACAACAGAATAAAGTTTATGAAAATAAAATAACAAACCTGATTTATTCAATCTTGGAGATTTATGCGGCGAGTATGACTCATCATATAGTCGGCATAAATTAGACGGTACAGATTGATCTCTTGGATGTTGAAAATAACTATCATATACAGGCGGGATTTCAATGCTTGAATAACGACGTAAATGTTCAATGTTCAATTCTTTAGAATTATTTAAACCCAACTTTAATGGATTAAACCAAAGTGTTGAAAATAATCGAGACCATAAAGGTGAAGTCTGTTGAGTTGGTGTTAAGTTTGTATCAACTTCATGAATTTTAACATCATCATCATCATCGTTATCATCAACAAGTTTATCGAAATTCAATGTTGCTTCGTCTATACCAGCATAAGCTATATATACAATAATATGAAAAGTGAATTAGATTAGATGAAACATAAGTAACGAATAATTTTTATATATATAAAAGAATATTAAATTTCACATCAAAATAATAGTAATCATTGATCACTCAATGAATTGGCTCACTTTAACATACTGTAGTGTGAGCTACTTATAAGTAGTATATGACGTGAGTGTCAACGTAATGTCTGGCAGCAGAAGATGGGGGAAGATCAAAAAAGGAAGAGTTAGAAGAACACAATGGAATTTGTATGAAACGCATCATTAGTGACAATGGATTGATGTTTTGCAACAGGAACAGTCCAGCTCGAGATGATGGACTGATATTTTGCAAATTAACGATTTACGATATGGTTTTCCAATTTTCGTTAAATACAACTCGGTTGCCCCATCTGTGTTCTCGTTCACTACAATACTTGTTCAGCACAGAGAGAAGAAATTCATGAGAAAAATATCTGTTAGTCAGTCAGTCAGTTACAATGTAGAACGTCCTACGTAAGTACATAAGTTCAAGTCGCCATACCACATTAGCACAGAGATGTAATTATCAGTTCAAATCCCAATGTGGTAGCTGTAACGGAGAAGATCAGAGTTCGAATAAGTTACTCAAGAAGTATAATTCAGTGAGATAAATTTAGAAAGACAAAAAACGGTCATCAGGAATTCAGAAGAGTAGAATTTGGGAGAACACAAAAAGTGGATGCACCTGCGCGATTGCAAACGATTCTGAGCCATGTCGTTCAGGGTCTCTAACCATCGAATACTATCATCTCGCGGACCCCAACCAGGTAGGCTACACTGACTAAGATGACTCAATCCAGTTGTCAGTCACTTCATGGATTTCTGCCATTTTTTCGTCTGGCAGCCGCCCCCTTAGCTTTCTTCCAACCTACTCATACACTGCGAAACATCGGTCGTCTAGGCAGTCGGTGGTTAGGCATTCGTAACACATGTCCCAACCACCTTAACTGATGAAGTTCCACTATTTCATCTACTGATTTGCCATTCCTACCTACTACTCATTTCCTAACTACAGAGTGGTAACAATATGAGTGGTAGTAAAAGAGACATGAAGTTATAGGGAGAAGGAATCTGGAAGAAAACACTGAATTTTAGAGTAAAAATTAGTGTAAAACAATTTCAGTATTTAACATTTAAGTTGAAAAAAAACCGGTTAACATATCTGCGCAAACGAATTTAATTTTGAGCAAGATCAATCAACCCAACGAATATTTTTCTATTTTTATAAGGCAATATTTTACAGTTTTAAAGGATGAACTACGGAGCAGGTATATTGCACTTTTATAGTCGCTAAACGGATATCTGATATACACCACAGTAAGTGCAAATTTGCAAAAGTCTCTTGTAATTTTACTTGGTATGAGGCCGGATGTTACTTCCTAGCTGCCCAGACTGTGGAATCGCTCTTGGTAGGCAGGAGGGGCATCGGCCTCTTAATTTCCGAAAAAAACTCGGCTTTCATCATAAGACATCATAACTCTTCTAAATGAAGACCTAACTCCCAGAGCAGAGTTTAAATGGTTTGAATTACTTTTCTTGTTAGAATTTTTTTAGCGATTCAGATTTCTACAGGATGGAATCGCCAACCTCATGACCAACCCTCCTCCTTTATCTGGGCTTGGGACCGGCGGTAGCCCCGAAGGGGCTCCAAGCGGAGCCCCCGTGCCGAGATCTCTTCACACATCAAATTAACAAGGATGATGAAGCTTGCTAAAAAGAAAGGTAAAGTATCTTACGCAATCAACTACTTCACAACGTAATTGAAACAATTTCGAAAAAGGATAAGGTTGTAAAAGAAAGTTACTCCGTAAGTTCACATGTTTATTAGTCAGATGTGGTTTAACGATTTTAAATCACCTCCAAAGTAGGACAAGGGTGATGAAACTTGCTAAAAAAGTGAAGTATCTTAGGCAATCAACAAATTTTCACAATATATATATATATATCTGTAATGTACTTCATAACTCAAAATACATTACATTCCAATCGAGAATCTATGACTAGCTACTATAATACTCAACAGTGATAGTTCACTGATCTTAACATCCATGATTTAATCACACCATCAGATCATTCAACATACTCATTACCTAACTGTGATTTTTTGTGGCTAAAGTGCAGAATTGACAAGCGAGTATAGGATTAGAGCATGATCGAGACAATTCAAATGTGATATGGGGCAGTTGAAAAACTTGAATTACATAAGAAGTTCTGCAGAGAGGTTTTTTTAGAACAATTGAAAATGTAAATCAAAAAACCATTTCGACAAGTAAGTCACTACATCAGTTCACATGTTTATCAACCAGTTGTTGTACAATAATTAATCAACAAGCTTCATACGAAGTGTGTATCCAATATCTGGGTTATTGATTGGCACACATGTGTATACATATATAAATATGTACACTAATGTGAACTTACCCAATAAACATTTCGAAAGAACTCCAATCGGAAGTAACGGATCACATAGTGATAACAATCTTGAAGGAGATGGTGTAAGCGATACAATCACAGGTGTATAAGCTAAAAATATTCCAATTGGTCTATTCAATAAACCATCATGAACAGCACGCATACAAACACCTAAAGCTAAATTGCCACCAGCTGAATCACCAGCCAAAACAATTTTGGCATTTGGTGTACAACCTAAATTTTCAAGATTTAATGTTATCCAACAATACGCGTAATAACATTCTTCTAATGCACGTGGATAAGGCGCTTCCGGTGAAAGAGAATAATCAACAGCGATAATTGGACAATTCAATTGTTCAGCCCATATACGTAAAAAATTCTAAAAATTTAATCGATGATAGATAGATAGATAGATAGATAGATATTGATAGAATACTTTATGAATATAAGATTTTAAAAAAGTATCATAAGTATCATAAATTACATCAATGAGTGGTCTTAGTTCGACGACCGCTGAAAGTCAGAAGGCAGTAAACAGCTGTATTTTTATCAGTCAGTCAGTTACAACGTGGAACTTTGTACGTAAGTACATCAGTTCATGTTGCCATACCACATCAGCACAGAGATAATTGTCAATTCATATCCCATAGTAGAAGAGGTAGTAAAGGTATGAGAAGTAATCGGAGAGGTTAGGATTAGAAGATATTATTCAAGAAGTATGATTCAGTGAGATAAGTTTGGAAAGACAAAACTACAGGTGTTGAAGAATCCAGAAGATTAGGATTTGAGTGAACACAGAGAATAAATGCACTTGAGCCATTGCAAACGGTTTCAAGCCATGTCATTCAAGGTCTCTAACCATCGATTATTGTCATCTCGCGGACACCAACCTACCTACATGACTCAGTCCAATCGTCAATGATCTCATGGATTTCTGCCATGTTTTGGTTTGGCCGCCCCTAACTTTCTGACAACCTATTCCTACACTACAAAACAAAGCTCGTCGAGGCAGTCGGTGGTTGCACATACGCAACACATGCCCCAACCACCTCAACTGATGAAGTTTCACCACTTCATCTATTGATCTGCCATTCCTACCTAGCACCCGTTTCCTAATAACAGCGTTGCTCACTCGGATGTCCCAGGATATACGAGCAATGCTTCGAAGACACCTATGATCAAAAACCAGTAACCTACGAATATCTTCTACTCTTACTGGCCATGTTTCACATGGCCAAGCTGTTGAGTTCCATACAGGGATGAAACAACTGTCCAGTACTTTCTGGTTTCTAATGGTTGTCTGAGTGAGAGCGATCCGAAGACAATCTATGAAAATTCTAAAATCTTCACAAACTCCTCTCAGTCAGTAGGTCCGTTGCAACGTGGAACTTGCAATGTACGTACATCAGTTCAAGCTGCCGTACCACATTAGCACAGAGATGCAATTGTTAATTCAAATCCCATAGTAGTAGAGGTAGTAGAAGTATTAGTAGTAATAGGAGAGAATAGGGTTCGAAGATATTATTCAAGAAGTATAATCCAGTGAGACAAAATCAGAAAGAGAAGGGTGATGAGGAATTCGGAAGATTAGGATGCACCTACATCATTGTTATTGATTTTGAGCGACGTCAATCAAAGTTCACAATCACGAGGACCCCAACAAAGTAGTCCATATCTGTTCACATGGCTTAGTTCAATTGTCAGTGACTTTGTAGATCAGTGCCATGTTTTTGTTTGACAACTCCTGACCTTCTTTCACTTGTCTAGATAGGCGATCGTTGAGAAAATATAACAAGTATCGTAATCGCTTCAACTGATGAAGATTCCCAACTTCATCAACAGATTTACCATCCTTAACTAGTAACCTTTTTCTAACCCCAGTATTACATACTCGATGGTGCCAGAATATACGAGCAATGTTTGAAGAACACCTATGATCGAATACTAGTAACCTACGGATATCTTTTATTCTTAATGGCCATAGTTTACATTCACACACCAGAGCAAAGTGAGCTTCTGAGAAGTAAACTGGTCCTTTCGCTGGTAGACGGATATATCGCCTACAACATAATTGATGCAAGTTGTACAAGGTCGAGATTTCGTAAGACAGCAGATCATCAAGATGGGTGAGACTTCAAAGTTAAGTGGTCGACACGCGTAACCACTTCATAGACTATCATTAATTCAGGCGCCGATGCAAGCCAATTCTGAAGTAACATTTTACTTCTGGAAGAAAGGATCGCATTCCACACATGCGAGGATTGTTGCTTAAGGTGTCCAGAAGAATGTATTTCGTCGGCATTTTCATCAAACAGAACTTTTTCATACGTGTATTTCAAGTCAACAGGTGGTAAAAGGTTAGACAGTTTATTAGTAAAAATAGACAATTAATGATTGTCAAATGTTGACAGATGTTGGAATGATTTTAATCCTAGGCCCTCTTTGTTTTTTTTATCAAAGTTATAATCACATCTTATACATATACATATACATATATCATATACATATACAATCATAGATTAGTTTGAGTACAGAAAGAGCATCCTGTATAAGTACTCGTCAATGAAACAGATTATTTTTTTGGTAGGACTAGTGATATTACTTATCTGTTTAAGCAGTTAAACGAAGTCGTAAATCCCTATCAGACTGAAACTACATGATCATAATTATATAAAAAGCAGAGATCGTCTACGATAGAACTAAGAAGTAAGTAACTCTAAGGTCAGACATCAGATACCAGGTTAAGATAGCGAACTGGTTGATGTTGTAGATACTTCTACCGGTATGACTTGCATGCGTTATGCTTGTTAGCTAATGCTGAACCACTTGTACGATGCTGACGACTGGGTGCAGCAACAAACTGTAAAAAAAAAGCCAGAGATCGCCAAACAAAGTCCTGTCCGTAACCCATAAAGCCATATTTCTTGTCAATCTGAGACTTATTAGTAGCTGCAGACTTCCTGGTTAGGGTTTGTGGTGAGGTAATGGACAAGTAGTAAGTGTCTGAACTTTAGCCACTAGATCACATATTCGATACCTATTCTATCTAATCCAGTTTTAGCAGTTGAGTAATATCTTAACTCTTACTTGATAATTGTAACCTACAGTTACAGATGAGCACTTGCAAAAATTAGCTACTTAAGTCAATGAGTCAGTCAGTTATAACGTAGAACTTCGTCAGACAGTCAGTCAGTCAGTTGCAACGTAGAACTATGTACATATGTAAATAAGTTCATGTTGCGATACCACATTAGCACAGAGAAGTAAATGACAAATCAAATCCCATAGAGATAGTAGAGGTATTAATGGCAATCAAGAAGACTAGGGTTTGAAGATATTATTCAAGAAGTATAATTCAGTGAGATAAGGTTAGAAAGACAAAGGTAGAGGTGTTGACGAATCCAGAAGATAAGGATTTGAGAGAGCTCAACGAATGGATGGATGAAAACGATTCTGAGCCATGTCGTTCAAGGTCTCTAACCATTGGTGACTTTCGTCTCGCGGACCCCAACCAGGTAGTCTACATCTACCAACATGACTCAGTCCACTAGTCAATGACTTTATGGATTTCTGCCATGTTTTGGTCTGGCCGCCCCTAGCTTTCTTCCAACCTACTCCTACACCACAAAACATAGCTCGTCGCGGCAGTCGGTGGTTAGGCATACGTAACACATGTCCCAACCATCTCAACTGACGAAGTTTTAATACTTCATCTATTGATCTGCCATCAATACCTAGTACCCGTTTCCTAACAACAGCATTACTTATTCGGTTGTCCCACGACACACGAGCAATAGTTCGGAGACACCTATGATCGAAAACAAGCAACCTACGAATATCTTCTACTCTAACTGGCCATGTTTCACAGCCATAAAGTAAGACGGAGCGAACTGCTGCTCAGTAAGTACACTAGTCCTTTGGTTAGCTACCTGAAGTCAATATCAACATTATCGTCAGCGGATTGTTGGATATGCCAACTTGAACTACTGCACATAAGTACCGGGTTGCACATTCTGTTTGATTGATTGAATTTCCTGACATCTAAACTACAGTTTCACCAAGTAGTAAATAGAACACATTATATAAAAGAAAGGAAATAATAAGGCAGTATAATGAGTTGGTATGTACTAACTAACTAACTAACTAACTAACTTACATAAAATAAAATAAAATAAAATAAAACAGATGATTATGTTATTTATTTAACAATAAGAATGTGTACTACTTGTAACTACTTACATCTTGTGATTGAGATGTTAAAGCAATGAATCCACCACCATGTATATAAAATAATACATTCGATGATCTAGTTGTATGATTATTATTATTATTCTCATTGGAATTATTATTTAACAATTTAAAACTTTCATATGAACAACGACGATCTTTGGAATATGATACGACATGATCAGCTGATGATGAAACATTGGGTGAACCGTATAATGATGACACGGAATTTCTGCTTGAATAATGATGATTTGATCGATTTATAATATAATTAGGTGATGTGAAAAATTTAGGCAATGATTCTGTTGTTCGAGTCCATTCTAAACCACATCTAAGATGTCGGCATAATATACGCATTCCTAGTGGAGCTATGCCAATATGTGCTTTTGGTGGTTCGATTACAATAAATTCTATTGAAAATGTGAACAGCAGAGATAAGTGAAAGTATCAAAAAATGTCACTTTAATTATGCAATCATAGTCAGTTGTATGCAAGTAGAGATTAGATTAGCATAGCAAGATAAAATTATCAAGATAAATCACTGAGTAGTAAAAGAAGCAGTAACAGCATCAATAATAGTAGTAGTAGAACTCAAATCGTTTGCGTAAGCGGTGCAGCGTGATGTGAGAAGAGTGAGTCGTGGAGAGAAGATGTTAGGGGGTGTAAGAACGATTTGATTGTGATCGATTTGGTCTCGTGTATTGTTACGGGTATGAAGGCGGATGTCACTTCTTGGTTGCCCACACCGTAGAAGGGTGTTTCCTGAGGAACCTGAAAAGGAAGGTAGACTAGTGTTGGTCTTAGAGACCTGGGAGCGTGACAGCAGAGCCCAAGGGACAACTGCTGTTAGCTGTTAGCTCCACTCTTGTTTAAAGGGCCTTATCGCCGGGGACGGAAATCCGTGAGGTAAGGTAAGGTGTGACATTTTTAGGGTTGACCTTTTTAACGCTTCCTTCCTTGTTAGAAGGCAGTATCGCTGCAGATGCTGGTTGTCCGAGGGAAACACCTTACTGCTGTCACACATCTCTACAGTCAGCAGTACGACTCCACCCTCAGACCTTGAGTAGCTGCTTTTAGTCTCATCGTTTTCCAATCGACCTGCCTGGCATGGTAGAACCTACAGAAACATATGTTCCAGCCAACATAGTTCGGTTGGGTCATCACGATAGGCAAGCCCGACAGCTACGGTCGGTAAATAATAGTATTATTTGAAAAGACTAACTGTAGTGAAAAAAAAGCAAGCAAACACTGAAAAAAAAGATCATTCTTAGGGGGCATATAAAGAAAGGAAATTGGGTTCGACTATACCTGGAGTAAGGTGAGGTGTTATTTTTAGGGTTGATCTTTTATAACACCCTTGTTCTTTTGTAGGAAAGGTCTGTCCTCATTTGGTCTCCTACTCACTGCCGTAACCGTTAAAGTTAAGTTGAATACAAACAAGTTTCTTGTTGATCATAGCTCTCTAATGTTCAGAATACCATTATTTTCAGCTCTTTCAAGTGTATTTGTAAATCTCAATTAATGAAACCATTACTATGTACTGACCTGATTAAAACAAAGGCTATTTGCATACATGACACAATTATTATTTCTGTCGCCAAGACATATTACTCTATATTTCACTTATTCACTTGCACTGTGATATAATATAATAATGGATTATTCACCCAGACAATTAGACAATTTTATTAGAACAATAAACAAACCTTTTTCGCCTTCTCGATTATTCATATCTAGGGGTATTTTTAGTGATTTTGTTTGTAATTTGAAAGAATGAGCTACAGCCATAGAAGGTAGAATTACATTAGGAGCTTCAGACACTACACGTAGTTCTGCTAAACTCCAAAATGCTTTACAAAATTGAACACTGGACCTTCGTGTAAGTTTGGCCAGAATTTTACCACGGTCTTCTGGAGATAAGTAAGAAGTAACCGACCGATAAACTGTATTGACTAAACTGGCAATGCCTTGTTTGCAAGTCTAAAATATGTATAGGAAATACCATTATTTGCCGGCATATAAGCCTAAGATTATACAAACAAGCCTTATTAGGTATAATACAAAAGCAGTAAGCCACTCAAATAATTAAGTTTATAAGCAATAAGTTAAAACAGTTTATAGGCTTAGCCAATGGAAGTATTTCCTGCTGACCAGTCGTCACCAGGATCCGTACACAAATCTTACGATTTTCGACTGATCTATATAGTATACTTGCATCAAGGTGAGTGCGTTGGTTTTTTATGTAAGTACATCCAACCTAGTTGGGAATCTTAACTGATGTACAGGTGTCAGGCTCTATTTCCATATGACTGACAGGCTGTTTTTATACAATAGGATAGCATATCAGGTTGTATAACTCACCAAGTATTTGAGTATTATCTACACTACGTGTAGCAGTTAATGATATCATCCGATTGCCTAAACTGAAGTAGTCAGAAGTGAGTTCGAATTCGCAACCTCGTAACTGAAAGTCAACACATATTAACCATAAAAGTCACTTTTCTAAATATTAAGCCTTTGTATTATGACCTGAATCGGAAAACTAATACTTTTTAAAACAGCATAATTAATTTGCAACACACGTAAATATTAGACTAAACCAACTTTATTTTAAATTTAAAATGACTTATTTACCACGTAGAGTTAATGTGTATTCAGAGTTCAGTCACACTGTATGTATTAATGACATTACACGTCACTTCACGCTTCTTCAAATGGTTAGATGTCAACTGGTGGAACATTGCGTCAGATATCATAAAATTTACCAATGAACAGTCTATTACCAGAAATCGGAAAAAAAATGTCTACCTTAATAAAAAACATTTTGACACTGTAAAATTAGGTACACTGAACTAAAATTACGTATGTGAAATAAGTATACTTACCAAAAAGCTATTACCATATCCCGCCATAAATGAATTCAAGAACAGTAGAATTCTTTGAGCACTAGGGCATAAGTAAAAAGCTAGACAACGACCATAAAAACATTCTTGTTTTATACTGTCTGACAGGGCTTCTAATCGATAGAACTCTGTAAGATCTTGATAGTGTTTTGATTCAACAGTATAATATACACCTGTAACATTAGTTGTTGATTTATCATCAAAACTATTTACATCACACTGTCCAATTTCCGGCAAATCAACGAATTCAGATCGTGGAAAAAGTGAAGTACCATTACTGAAACGTGGAAGATAACTGAGAATTTCAAGACACAGACTGAGTTCCATAAGGCAATTGATATATGCTATTACACTCTTATGTGTTATACCGGACCTATAAGATTAAAAAATCATAAGATTTCATTAGAATCAAACATGGGTATAATATTTATGACACTAATTACTAAAGTACATGTAATAATCATTAATACATATACTACAAATAATCCAATAAGTTAGAATACCATCTAAGACCGATTATCCCGACCGAAGGTGCTACCTTGACGTGGTGGTCGGGCTTGCCTATCGTGATGACCCAACCGAGCCATACTGGCTGGAACATATGTTCCTGCAGGTCCTACCATGCCAGGCTGGTCGATTGGAGAACGATGAGATTAAGAGCAGCTACCCAAGGTCTGAGGGCGAAGTCGTACTGCTGACTGCAAAGGGGTGTGACAGCAGTAAGGTGTTTACCTCGGACAACCAGCATATGCAGCGATGCTGCCTTCTCACAAGGAAGGAAGGGTTAGAAAAGGTCGGCCCTAAAAATGTCACACCTCCCCTAACTCACGGATTTCCGTCTCCCTGGGTAAGGGTGCCCACTAAGGGCCTTTAAGAACGGAGCTAATCCTCTAAATACCTTTCATAAAAAGGCCGTGTGTGACCGGCCTCAAGCAGTTGTCCCTTGGGCTCTGCGGTCACGCACCAACACTAATCTATCTTCCTTTTCAGGTCCCTCAAGAAACAACCTTCCACGGTGTGGGCAGCCGGGAAGTGACAACCGCCCTCATACCCGTAACAGCACGCGAGACCGAATTGGTCAAAAAATCTTGAAAAATAATAGAATACTAGTGACCTCAACTGTAAACATATCAAAAAATGTCAGTATCTTCGTGTTTTTCCTACAGCACTCCTGTACATCTTAAAAAGAGGGAATTTTTGTTATGCAAATGGTCAATAAGTCCTGATCGAAAAAAGGAATTCATTTAAGAGAAACTAAACTGTTTGATGTTTAATTGTATAACCTGTTGAAACAACCGCATAGATAAGTTATTAGTGTCAAGGAATGCAAAAAACAATTGTTTATGGTCACCAACATAGAACTTGAAAGAGGTTCCGGATCAAGTGAATTCGATACGATGTCAGTCAACACTAAACATATACTGCAAACATATCTTAAAAGTGTCAATTAGGGAATGCTGGTGGCTAAAGTGACTGAGGTTTATCAATTAGAAGTAATCTAATTTAACTACTTTCAAGTGCTGACTCATGAAGGGAGACTAAAGTCTTCTTGTAACAACCCCATTAAACCTAGCCTGGTTAACAGTTTCTTCGAGTATCTATTTTTATTACTATTATTAAGCAGATTTGAAAGAGATATTAGTAGAAGTGATTAAATGGTTTCAGTTTTCCTGTTACAAAAAGCACAAGTCGGTGGTTGTTAATTATTTTGTGACTCTTATTTTAAATCTATTTTTGAACTGACAAGTAACTAATATTCATATTATTTTGGTAGTGTAATCACCTAAATTTCACTCAGCTGGGACGGAAGGATTTGATTATGATCAATTTGGTCTCGTGTGTTGTTACAGGTATGAAGGCGGATGTCACTTCTTGGCCCCCCACACCGTGGGTGTTTCTTAAAGAAGCTGAAAAGGTAGATTAGAGTTGGTCTTAGAGACTTGGAAGCATGACCACAGAGTCCAAGAGACAACTGCATGAGGTCACGCACGGCCTTTTTATGAGAAGTTTTTAAAGTGTTAGCTTCGCTCTTCAAGTGGTATTACCGCCGAAGACGGAAATCCGTGAGGTAAGGTGAGGTGGGACATTTTCAGGATCGACCTTTTCTAACCCCTTCTTTCTTCTTCATTACCGCTAATACTTCTACTATCTCTACCACTATGATATTTGAACTGACAATTGCGTCTGTGCCAATGCGGTATGGAAACAAGAACTTATGTACATACGTAAGAAGCTCTACGTTGTAACTGACTAACTCAGCTGGGACCTGTAGATTGGTTTCATGGGTAAATTATTCATACAGACGCTACAATCATCCCAAGAAAGTTACATTTGTTACACGGAGTTATCGCTGACTAAATTTAGACACGAGTGCAGATCATTTCAGGATTTAATGATTATCTGTATACTAACCTACACCACCTAAGGTGCTAGAGATATTCAACAGCATATCACAGTAGAGTAATTTATTTTGCCATGAGACAGGCACTGAAGAGGAGTAAATATATAATACAGGCATTTAGGCAAGGTTTTATACGTTACTAGTCGTGAGTAAAGTCCCAGAAGATGAGTAAGTTAACAAAGTGAACTTAAAAACGGATTAGGTAATCGGGTAGTTTTCATTTATTTATACACACAGCACTGGTATGAAGGGACACCTAAATATTTATGAGCAACAAAAGTTATTTGATTTGTGAGTATACTGGGATACTGCCCGGCAATCCAGACTGAAGTAGGTTGTGTACTATACCTACTTTGATGTGCATTGTTGACTCAAGTAGTATTAATCTTAATGAAACTTAAATGACCAGAAAAGTTTACAAAATTACCTCACCTTGTATTGATTAATGTGGTGAGAAATTTCTTGATAAGGGTCTTAAAGACAATTCATATAAGTAATGCAAGTTCATATTGCTAGGAATATAACAATAATATGTGGATGCATCCGAACACCATTCTTTACATCTTAAAAGTTTTATTTTTTAAGTTTATTACAGCATACTTCGTTGAAGACTTTTACTTTACACTGTTTTAAGATGTAGCAGTCAGTCAGTTACAACGCAGAACTTCGTACGAACGTACACAAGTTCAGGTTGCCATACCACATTAACACAGAGACGCAGTTGCCAGTTCAATTTCCATAGTGAAGATTAGGGTTCCAAGATATTGTTAAAGAAGTATAATTCAGTGGGATAAATTTCGCAATAAAAAGATATAGGAACACATGGGAAACCTCACATTAAAATAACCTTGTGAAAAACCAAACCATTTCATAAACAAAATAATTGTGGGAAGATTGAAGCAACATCACTGAGCGATAAGGCATTTCTGTTATGTGCCTATAATTCTTAACTAACGTACTTCCGAATCCCTTACTGGTACTCAACTAAGGTGGTAGGCAAAATCGTAGCATTTTGCACTTACACGGTTAAAACGGTTTTTTAAGTGTCATCGTCCCTCAAGTTGTTTAGGAAACTACCATATCAACAACTTAACTAGGTACAACTGGACCATTCTTTTTTTTTCGGTGAAACTAAAACTTATGGACGAACTCATGAAAATAACAAATCATGGATTCGGAGCGAAATCCATCCATTAAATAATAGCTAACAAACTTTTCGGCATTAAAGATGGTGTCAGATTGTTGTAAAAACTCTAACGCTGATTCCTAACCCTAAATTCTAATTCTAAACAACGATTTTAAGTCCTCACAATAATTCATAGGTGTCTTTGGATTCTAGCAAGCAAGCGATTTCGTAAATCCGGCGGCTATAATTTGGTCTAAAGGAGGTTATAATAATATGAGGCAACAGAAATGAGGTTTCGAATTTAAGCTTCAAAAACTGAGTCAGGGTTTTCATCACGAACTGACATCAGCCATAATGCCAAAACTCTATTTAGCTGTATGATTATATCGAATTTGATTGGTTAGTTTAGCCATGAACTTTATAAAATAAAAAATATTGAATTAGGTTAAGCTTGATTTTACCAGTTGGAAATGGAATATGAGCTCATTTGTCGAATGTACGTCAGAAGAACAACGGAGCACCTCATAGTGATAGTCAAAAAGCTTCGGATTCCGTTGGCCCGTAAAGAGCCGAAGTCATAGTCACCTACTATTGAATACAGATATTTAATCCTTGCAGCAAACCCCGAGTCCAGAAGGGTATGAAGTCTTCTTAAAGCACCAACAATATCACTTTCCGATTGAGGGGTCTCAGCATTTTCATCCTCCGTTTCAAGATTATTTCGAATAATTGTGAGATACGTCCTGCACTAAGAAGATATATAAAGGTTGTCAAGTTTTTACTTGTAAATGCAATTCCGAGCACAACCGCACAATCTGTATACATTCCGAACTGTCCAGTGATTTCTTATTTTCATCTAGAGAAATCAAACTACCATAAAGCAATCACAATTCGTACTCACCATTATTTGCACTGGACATACTAAATTTACGATCTATAATAAGTTTGCTGCTAAATAATCTCAAAGAATTGGAGTTTATAGATGAGGGTAGCTAACAGTGAAACTATTGTGAGACATCAGAATACAATTTTAGTTAATCAGGACGTATTGTCGTACATCAAGACAGACAATTACATCTTGACAATCTAATAAAGCCTCTAGTATCTCGTGATATATGACCTTACATCTTGAACGATTCAAACACATTTCAGACACCGAGGAGATACAATATCCAATCTCTTTTGTACGAGCTAGTATAAACTAACCGATTTCTTCGCGCTCAATTCTTGTACTTTCGGTAAGGTCCTAGGTGTTTGGTAGTATACAATGAATGTTGGTCTAGCCACTCGACCACATTAATTCTAGTCTGTTAGCAGTTGTTTGAGTTTGTATGTACCGTGATTTGTAAACAAAAAGATAAGTTAAATAATTGGTATTGAAGATTATATGAGGGGACTAAAGTGTAAGTGAGGGGAATGAAACAGTGATAATAAACGTGATAGATCAAGTTAGTGATCTGAGGGAATGGCAGTCATAACAACCAGCAAGTCTCAAGATAAGCATCTGTAGTGCCTCCACATATATTTCAGTTCGCCCACATCTAAATTGGTTAAGCCCTTTCGATTAATTTATTTAACCAAGTCATTTGCATTGCAACACTTTATATGTACCATTCGTTCTTATTATTGTCTGGTTTGTATGAGCTCACATGACGTGTCCCAGTCGTCATTTGACCTTGTCAATTATTCGTCACTTTTAATCATGTGTGCCTATTTCGCTTGTCACATGTCTGTCGTATATTTGTCTAACTATATATTCATAGTTACGCTCTATCTCTTTGAGTTGGTTCACAACCAGCCATTCTCCACATCGCTTCCTTCGCCCATTCGTTCGCATTATAATCCAGGGAATTGGCTAAACAACCTTCTCCAACTCACGTCGCTTCGTTCGTTTTATTCACTGCTTCTCCGCTTCGCTTTGTGGTGTGTTCCAAATAAACGTATTCGTCACTACGAGTTTGCCTTCCGATTTATAAACCGTCAGACGCTATTTAGTAACGATTGTCAGGACGAGCTAATTACCGAGCTTAAGAACACACTACACATCAGGAACAGCTGATCCAAGAGGGAGATGATAATCCATATGTGGGTATATGTTTATCAAGTCTGCTCTTAAAGATTTGCACTGAGGTTGCTATGGTCAACTCGGCTGGGAGAGCATTTGAAGTTGCAACAACTTTTAATGCGAAGGAATGTGCTCGAATCTGTGTGTTGGCCCTTCAATGTGCGATTTTCGAGGTTACCTCAAGACGCTTGGTGATGATGCTCTAGTAAGATGCTCATGTTGGGATGGTTCGACGTACTTGATGCGTCGTATGTCATTTCTGATCACCTCTGTTTCTCTTGTAACTCATAGAGAATAACCGCAAGTGCTGCAGGTTTTATTTTTTAACCATATCACCCATTTCGTTTTTTGTCTCTGCACTCGGTCCAAGCGATTTGTGTCTGTTTTAAGCAGAAGGAGCGTGACGACATAGTGAACTTCAGGATTCGGGTGTGGGCATATCTTAAACAACGTTAAGAATAGTTCTGGGGTGATAGTACAAAGGCGTCTTTGCATTCAGTGTAGAGTCGCGTTAGTCTTGGCTGCGACACTCATGTGGAACAGACCATTAATGAATTTCAGGAAGAGGAGTGGACCTGGGATAGTTCCCTATGAAACTGCCGATTTTGACACTGGCCAAATCGCGTACGCTATATTGACCTTGGTGCGAAACTCTCTGTTCCTAATGTATTTTCTGAGTCACCATAGGAGTAGGTCAATTTAACCCCTTTTGGCAACCTTCGCAATTAGGAGTTCATGGGTTTCTGTGTCGAATTCAATAAATTTTATGTGTACCGGTATTATTCACTCCTAGCAGGTTTTCCTGCTGTCCCATGCTTTGGGAAGATTTGATGCACATGACCTGCATTTTCGAAACCAGTGTTGAGTCTCATGGAGGGATTGTTCTTATCCATGTTCTCCCTCATTTTCTCATTCACCAGCCCTTCAATTACGATCAACCGTATTGGTAGTTTGAAATTGGTTTGTAACAGGCTGAATCCTTCCTATTTCCTGCTTTATAGATTGAAGAAAGAGTAGCTTGGTACCATTCACCTAGGAGTTGGTATGATCCTAAAGAATGCCTGAACAGGTCATATAACAGTGAACTGAGGGCTTCTACACACTGTTTCAAGACTATGGGTCGAATCTTGTCACATGCTGGTGACCTTTGTGTGCGCTAGCTTTTTAGTTTCTTAATTACTAGGTAGGGAATAACTCGGATGTTCCCTGGGCCCTCAGTCGTCAATATGTTTCAGCAGTAATTTGAACGTGTAGGTATTTGGTTTAACTGATATTAGAAGTTGGTGTTGAAGATCTTAGCTATGTCTTGGTTGGCAAGTTCTTCGCGACTTGAACCTTCGAGGGAACAAAAACACCTTGATTAGTAGGTTTTATTTAAATGATGAACCTAAATAGATACTTGGAGTTTGCCTGTATTTTGGCGGCTAGCCGCATCTGGAAGCGTCACCTGTCACTCTAACCTGTAGCATGGTACCTGTTTCTCAATACCAAGTAAGAAGTACGATCATGATCCGCCAGAGAAACCTCCACTTGTTCCAGGCACTCCTTTCCCCTGTATCAGTCGTTCAGTGCCTCGCTTACCCCAACTTCTTCTCTTTCCGGGTGTGTGGTGTGCCTAAGTACGTTGTTAAGAACAGCATACTGGGTTTTGTCTCTCACTACTTGCCAGTGATCACCTACTGTTAGCCTCCTCTATTCCCGTAGCCATGGGACATAACGAAGATGCCTTTTCGTGCGCGTGTAATTTGCCCTAGTTTAGCAAAGGTTTTTATCCCACCTGAGAGTTTCGTTTATGATCATGTTAAATATGACTGTGACATGGTTACTACTTCCTACTGATGTTTAGACGTGAAAAGACTCTACTGCGAGATGATCATATGTTAACAAATAATCTGAGTTTGAGGATTTTTCATCCTTGGTCTATCTAGTGGCGCTGCATACATGCTCAGTCAGTGCAGAATTTTTTATGGTCTTCTCTATTTCTGAAGTCCACTGCCATCAGATATGGAGACTTAATGGTCGTAAGATGTGACTGACAAGGCAGCCAGGAAATGCTAATGCCCATGGTATTGTGAAGACCAATGCTGCGGGACGGCCACCGCCACTGTTGCACATCATGTACGTGAGCTTCATCCAAGCTACCACTACCACTAATCCATACAGGTGAATATATTTGCTGGATACTTCGTAGTATCGAAAGAACATCGAAATCGTGCCAGAAAACAGGAGAGAAATTACAGAGATAGTGAACTCTAAGTGGCAGCAATACAAACGGATAGTTTGCGCGTACAGAGGTTCAGTACACTGTCGAGTGATATTGAGTTTTTTCACAACCCTTTCACTCCAGATTGCGATTTAGGCTGCCGACGTTTCGATTACACTATCCGGAAAATGGTTAACTGCAAACACCTACTGTCAATTTGTGTCTCTTAAAGACACTTTTTTTTTATCCCTAGATACTTGGTCATATTTAGTTCCGTCGGATAATCTTCGGTTATTACTCGTTGGCTGCTAGAGTATCCTCTGTTATACTGAGGTGGAAATTTAAATCGTCATTTTATAATCTGTTTGAAGACAGGGATTTTCAGGTAACTATTCACTACAACGTCCTTGCATACAATTTAAATTCTGTTATATGAGTATATCCATAAGGTTTACATGCAGCTGTTGCATTTGTGTTCTGATCAGTTTCGTCAACTAAGGCAAGCCCTTCACAAGTGAATTCGTGGCAGCCTAGGTTAGATGGTTACGAGTTAACCGCATACGTCATGTTAAGATTGAACTAATACAACTAAACTGTGTATTCGTTTCCTCACTTTATGTAGGCTTTATAGTTATGCTATCGTTTTTTGAAGACTAAAGAATTTGTTTATTTGAATCATAACCCCCCACTCACTATGCGGCTGAACTCAATCTGAATATACATGAAGAGATACAAAGTTTGAGTTACCAAGGCTTTATATCTATTCTTAAAAAAATATGTTCTATTCCAAAGGGTGTTCTTTAAGTGCTATGGGAATAACTCGATGTCGTCTTAGTCCTCTTTCAATGATGATAATATTGTACCATTCTCATACATACTCGCTTCAGCTCATGAATAGCAAGGTATTAAGTTTTTGCTAATGGGACATTGTATTAAAGCATGATGGCGTTGTTGCACGCTGATCGGCTCTTTCACATCCAATCACCGCTAGCCGATACTGAGGGGACATTCAAAAATCTTCTCTTGTAATAAAACTGTAAATAAACTAACTTATTTTTGATTGGGACCTTCTGTCTTCCATTTAACCTTGTTATTGAAATATGATCTATTTCCTGTTCAACCGTGTTCTGATTTGGGAGAACGTCTTTAGTGAATTGGTGTCCGAGAATACTAAGCATTAGAAAAAGCTGGGTTGTAATAAGGAGAGAATTATAACAGTTTTTCACACATCAGTTCATTCCCTTCCGGGCCCTTGATGATCCAAGCCAAATCGATCCACAGCTTTTGTCGTTTGCGATTCGAGTATAGTGAGCCATTCTAACTTTCCATTTTACGGAATGTGAAAATGAGATACAATTTCAAATAAATATTATTTTCCCTCTTCTGTTATGCCGTGAAGATAATAATAATAACGGTTAAATTAATGATAATTTTTCTCAAATAACAGCGTGTTGCAAGGAGCATGCCAATTTACGGGCAGTTTCAAAATGTTAAAATTTTTAACATATTTTATGTATAATTTTGTTCAGTCAGATATGTATTTTACAAGATAAACTGGCTTCTTATAGAGAGCTACTGTTTTTCATATAAAGTTGTAATAATGCACAGACTCTGGAATGGATAATAGAATATTTGGTGCGAGTTATGTCCGTTACAGTGCGACGAACTTCAGGTCACGTACGTCTGCAGAGGGATTCAGCCTCGCCTCAATTAGGGCAGATACATTCAATATGTGGAGGTTTGTCAGCATATCTAGCTTTCATCCTTTGTCAAGAGCACATTAGATATCTACGTACAGGATCCGAAGATTATTTAAAGGGCTTTGTACTTAAAATAAAGTAGCTTCAAAAGCGTTTGTTTGCAGAGCCTTGCTATTAG